TCCACTCCTAATCACATTGAGAATGTCGTCGAGAAGGGGCTTTCATTCTTCTGAATGGATTTTTGAACTGGAATTCATTTAATCAACTATTGCTCCTTTTCCAACTGGACTCAGACCTAGAACCTGCCAGTCCTGCTCACATGTGGCCCCAGCTCTGTCCAAGGCCTGAGTGTGTGCTCCAGGTCAGGGTCCCATGTGGCCCATCACCCAGAGGGCTCAGAGCCTGAGCATACTTGCCACTGGGTAGGTAGCTCAAGCTGGGAGACATCTCGGAGAAACTTTGGGGCCCCCAAGGCCTTTTAAAAAGGCCTGGGAGGAAGGCACGGGAGAAAGTGACAAAGAGAGAGACAGAGGTACAAAGACACATAGAACTCAATGAAAAACTTAATGATTAAGTTGGATTCACACTCAGAAAGGGAGAGACAGGGCAAAGGAGGTATCAGGTCACACAAGTCCAGTTATGAATGTAGAACCCAAATAGTAAAGGAAGACTTTCTGTTTAAGTGCGAGTGAAAATGCCATTAATAAAAGCTCCTTTCAAAGACCCTCTCAGCCTCCTTATAAATTGAAATAGGAGCTTTCAGAAAAGTAGGGTGTCTGAAGCTGACATTTAGGGCCCCATAGCAAATCTCAGCAGTTTTGTTTGTTTTGTTTTTAATGCCATTGTGACCACTGTCTGAATAAACTAGGTCTTAATTTTTGGGAGCTCTCCTGAGCTTAAGGCTTCTCCATCCTCTGCTCCCCCACACCCCACAACTTGGTGGAGTGAGGACTATGACATAGTCTCTTGGTCCCTTTTTTGCCTGCCTCCCTCCAAAACTCTCTGCTTAGCTAAAGAATGACTGTCCGCACAGAATCTAACCTGCCTGGCCAGCTTTATTACATGGCCACAATCAATCTTGCACTTAACACGACATTTGTTTATGACCCGATGGGAAGGGCTAATGGTTTCATGAACCCACTCTGAGAAGAGTTGAGAGGAATCTAAAGAGAAGACCCTGGGATAGCCGGCAGGATCCAGTAGGGAGAACTGGGCTCAGAAGCAAAGGGGGTCTCTCTCCAGGAGCTATAAGATGTGGAGTGAGGGTAGAAAGAAACCGTTGTTCCAACCACCCTTATTTCCAGTACCACTAACAGCTGGGGAGAACACAGATCTGAGTGTCCAAGACCGGGCTCCACAGATGCCTCCAGTCCCTCTTGGGCAGCCTGGCCAGGCAGCCTGGACCTGCAGAAGGGTCAGGGCCTCTCTGGAACCTTGGACCATGAAGAACAAAACTAAAGGCCCTCCATCTTAAAACTGAGACCCGCTCCCTAGAGAATAGGATGGGAGAGAAAAGGTCCTATGTCTCTTCTTTACCTATCTGAGTTCAGGGGAGCCTGAGAGGGCTATAAGGCACTCTTGTTTCCTGACCCTTATTTCTGACCCCTGTAGGAAATAGCCAAGAGCTTACAGACCACCAGCACAATTGAGTCTTATTCCTCTGCAAACATCGATTATTAATGACACAAACTGTGTAGAATGATAAATTGTAAAATGCATGCTTGTTTGTATGCAGTCTGGTCAAAAAAGCTCTGCTAACTACATAGCCCTGGAAAATAGTACATGTTCCTACCACATACGCAATACGCCAAAATGCAAGTTTTTATATGGCATGTAACATGCTGGCATTTACTTGCTCGCTGTATAAATCGCTAAGCAAATAAATGCACCCACTGCTACATAAAGGACAAAATACTATCCCAAAGCTTTCTACAGAGGTTCACTTCAAAATTCGCCAAGTCCCCGACCACTAGATCCTGCCTTATGTCCAAGGCTAATTTCAAAATGTACTGTCTGTTAGGTAAAATAGCAAGAAGTTTCTCTTAGAATATTTTACAGAAAAAAATATCCTTATTGCTGAAAAAGTGCAAATCAAACCTGCAAACCACTAAGGAATAAGTAGTTCTCCCAGATTCAATAAGGTCAGCCATAGTTGTTTTCTCTTAAATTGGATGAGAAGCCAAAAGCACATGTGTTGAGAATAGAAAACATTACCTATATGGTTTAAAAAATCAGAATAATTAGCAGAACTTCTGACCTTGCACTCAAACACAGTTTCTGAACTACTACTTAGGCAACTCCCATAGAAATAACTACATATGAATAACACAGACACCTTCCTAGACACACATGTCTTCCCTGCCTGATTTTCAAACGTTGCACTAGAAGAGGGCAAGAATGATTGCTAAGAAGCTTGTCCCCCGAGCAAGTGTGTAAACACTCCCAGGAGTTTAGGAGAGGAGCTCTTCACAGCCGCAGAAGCCCAAGCACTGCACTCATGCGTGTTACCTTCTTCAGCCTCAGGAATTCGGGCCCCAAGAAGGAAGAGCGAGGGGTGCCGCTGCCCACTCCGCATTCTGGCGTGGTGGGGCAGGGTCCCCAGTCGGGAGAGCGGGTTCTGCCCCCGACAACCACCCTCCCCTCTCCACGCCGTGCTCACCCCGGCAAGGCGGCTCCCGCGCAGGCCGAGGTGCCCCGGGACCGCGCCTCCGACCCACAGCGCCTACCCCACTGTCCCGCAGCCCACCCCTCGGAACCTCGCGGTCAAGCTCTCAAGAGCCAGGCTGGGGTAGGCCCAGGGCTGGCAGCGGCCGCGACGTGCTCTGGCCGTAAAGCCCAGGCCCAAGGAGCGGCAGAGGGGTGCGAGCACGTGGACCCCGAACGCGCCGAACCCGCTGCTCGCTTTGCATATCTCTTGCGTCCCTTAGGCCCAGCGACTCCCCGCGCCGGCCACCGCCAAATGATTTGTGGCCTCTGTAAACCGACCCCAAAAGCCGCGCGAGGACGCAGCCCAGCCGGGGAGGCCGCCTGGGACCCACGCGCCGGCCCAGGCAGGTCCGGCGCGACCAGGCCCAGGCGGGGAGGGTTGGAAGTTGTCCCTCAAATCGTGCGGCTGCCGAGGCTGCGGGCTGGCGCGGGTCGCGTTGTCACCCGAGAGCAATGGAGTGCCTGTGACCTTTCCAACCCGGCTGAGCACCTAAACACACGTGTGTCTTCAAAACAAAGGCGGCGAGAGAATAGTATAAAAAGGGAGCAGAGTGGGCCAGGTGGCGCGAGGCGGAGGTGCGGGATGAGCGGGACAAGCTGCTTTCCCGCGGCTCCGCGGGCCCAGGCGGCGAGGGCCCGAAAGCGCTCCTCCTGGCTTCGCAACCCTCGTCCCTCCACACACAGCCCTGCTCTTTGCCATTTTCTGTTCAGCCCGATCTTCCAGGCACCCACGACCCAACCTGTGATTAATCCATCACACCTAACGAGAGGTCTCCGCGGACTCTTTTAGCCCCCAAACAACTGATTTCGGGGGAGAGGCAGCAGGGAGAAGAGCGAGAATCCGGGGACTGGAGGCGGCGGGGGGGGGGGGGGGGGGGGGGGCAGGGGTTGGGGGTTGGGGGGATAGAGGAAGGAGCTCCAAACACAAACAGAAGCCGGGCCCAGGCCGCGGCGGGTAATTACAACTAATTAGCTGCAGAGCGTTCCCGTCCGGGAGCGGCGTCCCGGAGGCCGGCGTCGGGCCAGGAGCGACCCGGCAACACCAGGGCCGCGGAGAAACGCCCAAGCAGGAAAGCCCCGGGTGGGCCACAGGTCTACCCTCGCCAAGTCCCCATTCCAAAACGTTGCATCAGGCAAGTCGAGAAAGTCACGGTCTCGGCTGCCGGAGCTGACCGGCCTTGGGATAGGTCACCCGTCCGAGCGGACGGGGCCATTCCGTTGGTCACCTGCTGCCGCTTCCCATCTGGGCCTAGACAACCCAGCTCCAGCCACCGGACCTTTTGTCCGCAAATCCTGGCTCCACGGTCGGCTCCCAAAAGTGGACCAACGCACGAACTCTACGAGGTCTGGCAGTGGATTCTTTTCCTTCACCGCCCACCCCAAGTGGGTAACCCGACGCAGCGCCAGCGCCACGGGCTGAGACAGCCAAGCGGAGGTATAAACGCAGCAGTCAGGCGAGTCTCAGCCGGCCTGACCCGGAGAGACACCCGCGCCCTGGGCCGCTGCGCTCTTCCTTAGCTATTAGGTTACGACTCTGAGCGAGGAGACCCAGCAAATCAGAGGCCACGTAAAGCAGGTTTTGACTGAAATTAGAGTGTATTTATTTGCAGCAATCCTTTAACAATGATCAAATTTTGACAACAAGCAATAGCAATTACTGCTAAGTGTTGCCTCTAGATAGGAGCGGCAGATAGGAGGAAACTGTATTATCTCGAAAACAAACTGAAAGGCCCTGAATGTCTGTAATCAAATCTCCATCTCTCCAAAGTCTGATTGACAGGGCAGATCACCCTAAGATAATGAATTTATTACATTTCCTGGGTTATTTACAAAGGGGGAGGGTCAATCTGGGTTGCCCCCTAGGTTTAACTGTAAATTAACAAGAGAAAATGGATTGAAAAGAAACCACCCTAGACTAAAATGTTCTGCTCTTCTCTCCTTCCTTCTTATTGCTTTAAATCTTTTTCAAAAAATAATTGTTCTACAAACATATCTTCTAAAATAGTTTCCCAAAGATTAAATATCCCTTTCCAACCCACAGTGTATATATATATATATACACACACATATATATGTGTGTGTATATATATATGTATATGTATATATATAGTTTTAAAAATCAACCCTTCTATGTAACACATGAAAGATTGTAAATGTGAATGAGTTAAATATATACATTTAAAAACTGGTTTATTTTTCCTCTTATAAAGTAGTGAAATTAATAGGCGAAATATCTATCCAGCATTTGGCTCATGGGGATGTATAATAGAATCACGATTTTTTATGTGCTACACAAGCCAAATATTAATTTGTGTATATCTGGAGGCACATTCACATTCACACAGGTATCACTGTGGTAACACCACTGCTGATTCATGGGCTTAGAACTTTCAGATCATGGTCTGTCCTTACTGAAAAAAAATATATTTGTGTATATGCCAACTCAGATCTGTTTAGGAAAATATCTTTTGACTAGCCACAAAGCAAGCTGACTATATAGTACATTTTGCAGAAGATGCTGCAGGAAAAAAAATCTAAACAAAAAGAGACTTTCATGTGAAGTTTGACAAGGAATAGTCACAGGGTTCCTCCATTTTTCAGCTTTTTGGAGAATAGGTCATTTCTAGTCTTTCAATCTGAAATCTTTTTTCTTATAATAATTACGGCTGTATTAAAGTATCCAGACATATAGTTCTCATTCAAACTGAATGGTAATTTATTAATAAACAAACAATGAATATGTTCAACAAAAAGGAAAAAAAGATGATAGAATAAGATTAATACAGTTTCCCTTTTTATAATGAAAAAAAAAAGCACAATTTAAAGTTTCAGGCAATTTAACGTCAGGTTTTGGAAACACTTTCTGGCGTTTGGTCCACGACATCCAACTACAAATTAAAAATAAATTACTATGTTGCAATTTACATTTTAAAACAAGTCCATGAATAAAAAGAAAGCGATTTTCATATATGGGGACTTTCCCCCTCCTTTCAACATAGGATAAAATATCTTACAGGTGAGAGGTGGAGGAAAAAGAAGGGCAGGGAAATGGGAGAGAAGGGAGAAAAGCGTGATCTCTGAAAAGCAAGAAGAAACTTACGTGTTATCTGGAGTAACACTGTCCTTTAATAAACCATGATTTTGCTGTCTCTGTACAAAATAGTTTACTGTTTTGTTTATTTAGATAAGGCAAAGTGAAGGTGGCTCTGAATCTTTTAAGAAAATAATTTTCTTTGTGCTGGTGAGTTGAATTTTTGGAGGGATTCTGTTCGCTGGTTTGGTGAATGTTTTTCAAGGTTTTTTTGTTTTTTGTTTTTAATTGGATTTCTTTTTCTTCTTTTTTTTGGTTTCGATTTTGCATTGATGGTTCTTTTGGCTGTTCCTGCTTTAGGGTTCCATTCAGTCCGACTCTGGAGGGGGGTTCGGGGGTGTCAAAACTTGCTACAGTCGTAGACGAAAGCCCCGGACGTGCGGTACAGAGACTGGCTGGAAGGGAAGGCCATCTGACAGCTACTATTCCCGTTCACCGGAGAGTTGTTCAAGCCGATCCTCTGTGACTCGAACATCTCCCGCACAGAGTGGAAGTTCTGCTGCTGGCCCGGATAGCCCGCGGCCGCCGCCGCCGCCGCCGCGCTCGCCAAGTGGCCCAGGTCTCCGCCCGCCTGGTTCAGGTACCACGAGGTGAGGCGGCCTTGGTGGGCCGCAGGGTGGTGGCCGGTCTCCTGGCCCCCGCCGCCGTGACTCAGGGACGAGGAGCTGCTGCTGGTGACTGGGGGCAGAGAGTAGTCGGGCAGGGGGTCGTCCACCGCCGAGCCGCCCGCGCCCCCCGGCGCGCCCTGCAAGTGGCCGCCGCGCTCTCCGGCCGCGTACAGGCTCATGGCCTGCAGGTTGCAGTGGTAGGTTCCGGCGCCCGCCGCGCCGCCGCCGCCGCCGCCCCCTCCGCCGCTGCCCCCGCCAGAGCTGCCGGCGCTGGAGCTCTGGCTGCAGGGGGAGCTGTAGAGAGAGCTCTGGCCAGGCGAGTAGGCGCCAAGCGCCAGCGGGGGTGCGATGCCGGAGCGCGAGGACCCGGCTGCCGAGGCCAGGAGGCCTGAGCTGAGCTCCGCGGCCGCACCCTGCGGCGACCCCCGAAGCGATGTCATGATGTTGTCCACGCTGAAGCCCTGACTGTGGTGCGGCGGAGGCGGCGCGGGCTGGGCGGGCGGCGGCGGCTGCGCGGGCTCCGCGCCGTCCAGGCTCAGTGGCCGCGCGGAAGGCAGGCTGCCCGGGGGGCTGCTCCCACTCGACAGGCTGCTGCTACTGCTGTCGGGGCTTTCGATTTTGGGCACCGCGGCGGCGCTGCCGCTGCCCAGGGCGGCGGCTGGGGACAGGGGCTGGGGCGGCGAGGGGCACGTACCGTTCTCGGTTTTGATGTCCTGAATGCGCACTGGCGGCGGCTGCGGTCCGGGCGCGGCGCCGTCGGCCTGCTCCGGCGGCGCGGGCGGGGGCTGGCGACCCGGCTGCGGCGGCGGCGGCTCCTTGAGGTGCAGCCGGTCCTTCTCCTCCTTGTCCTTCACCGCGTCCTTCTTCTTGAAGCGCCGCCGTCGCCGGAGGAAGCTGCCGTTCTCGAACATGTTGTACGAGTCCGGGTCCAGCGTCCAGTAGCTGCCCTTGCCGGGTTTCTTGTCGTCGCGGGGCACCTTGACGAAGCACTCGTTCAGGGAGAGGTTGTGACGAATGCTGTTCTGCCAGCCTTGTTTATTGTCCCGATAGAAAGGGAAGCGGTCCATGATGAACTGGTAGATGCCGTTGAGGGTGATCTTCTTGTCCGGGGCGTTCTGGATAGCCATGGTGATGAGCGCGATGTAGCTATAGGGTGGCTTCACCATGTCCTTGGGCTGTGGCTGCGGCGTGTAGGGCCCATAAGCGCGGGCCATGCCGCCCGGGTACTGCTCGGCGTGCGCCGGGTGCGAGTACACGCTCATGGGGGCCGGCATGGCTGTGTAGCCGCCCCCGGCCGCCGCCGCCGCGGCGCGGTAGTAGCTCTGCTCTCCGCCAAGGTAGGGCACCACTCCCAGGGAGTTGGGGCTGGACACGGAGTAGCGCGCCTGCATGGCCCCCGCTCGCCGCCGCCGCCCCGCGCCTCCCGCCGCCCCCCACCCTCCCTAGGCCGGCCACGCCGCGCCGGCTGCCCAGTCCGAGTCCGGGCCCCACAGAGCTGGTGCCGGGCCGCCGCGCTGAGTCGGGCTCGGCCGCCGCCGCCTCCCGAAGCCGCCGGCCGCGCGCGGCCTCTGCCTGCGCTTGATCGAGCTCTTGGGGCGCCTCGGGCCACTTCGGGGTCCGTGCTAGGGAAGAGGGCCGGACGTGGACGCGGCAAACGGCCTTGGAGGAACCCGCGGAGCAACTTCCAGGCGAAAACGGCAGAACAGTCAAAACTATAAAAACAAGAAGGCGCCCTTCTCGCCACACTGCCTGCGCCTTCCAGGAGACTCTGCCCTGAGCCGCCGGCGAAGGCGGCCAAATACCAGGGGCGGGGGGCAGCGCGCCGGCCGCCTTCCCGGGCCCCGCGTCACCTTTTTTTCAGTCTCTCGCGCGCCGGCCGCTTAAGGAAGCATTGGGAAAACTTCTGAACTTTTGAGCATCCGTCACCCAGGCGAGGACTTTTTTACGCAGTTACATTTTTTCCGGGCCGCGGAGCCCCGCCCCACCACAGCAGCAGCAGCCAATGGTCGGCGAGAACCGCCTCTGAATGAGCCGGAGGCCGAGCCCTGGCGGCCCGCGCCCAGCTGCGGGAGGACCGCAGGGCTGACCACACGCGCGCCGGCCGTTCGGAGCCCGCGCCCCTACCCCTGCCCCTGCCCGCGCCAGGCCTGCACCCACAGCAAGATCGTTCCCCGAGCCCCAGCCGTCCGCTGCCGCCGCCCACACTGTCTCCCACTCCCGGCCCTCCGCACAGGCGTCCATTGTTCTCGCAGACTTCCTGGGTCCTCCTGGGCCCCACGCAGACCCTTCCTCTGTCCACCGCTCCAAGATGTCACCGAGTACTCGAGCCCCAACTTGGGATGGCTCTCTCCCATTCCTTGGTCGATCTGGCTGATTCCAGTGCCGGGATTTCCTGGGCTTCTCTTCCCCTCCTCCTTTTCAAACCCCTCACCTTTCCTCTCTTTCCACTTCTTCCATCTCATTGCCAGTCTCACTTGGTTCACAGATATGTTCATTTGCCCCTCACCTGGAGATTCTCTTGTCCGGAGCTGGGTTGCAAAGGACAGGGTTTTAAGGCTCAGTCATAGCCATGCTTTCCCGGCGGGGCAGGAATTGTCGCCCCCACCTCGGCTGCCTCGTGACACCCACCCAGTAGAAGTAAGGCAGAGGGGATATGGGGCCTTGCCGGGACCGCTGCCCAGGTAGGCTCCGCCTGCCGCATTTCAGACCACCTTGCTCCTCGTTTCCCCCAGGGCATTTGACACCCCAAGGGTGTTAGAGGCTCTGGCTGCAGGGGCCAGGAGGCTTCCCTGCGCTCCCCTGTGGCGGGAAGGGTGGGGGGCGTACGTGATCCCTAAAGTTCGCCACAAGCCGCAGGGTCTTTGCCTCTGGTCCCGCATGTTTCGGCTTAGAGGAGGGGTCACGCTTCGGGCTCAGTGACATTAGCAGGTGTGATGACAAGAAGCAAATAAACACGTCCAAGAACTTAACGCGTTTCAGTTCAACCTCCATCTCCACACGCGCGGTGCTGCGGACTTGCAGATAACGGGTGTGTTGGCGGGGTGGGGGCGCAGTTCAGAATCGCACCTGCGGAACAGCTCAAGGATTGCGGGGGGGTGAGCACGGAGGGCATATCCTTCTGCACGCCTGAAATGTACAGTTTCTGAAGGACTGGAATGGGATGAAAAGAGGAGAAAGGGAAAAAAACGAAGGAGCAGGAAGAAATTTGGCCACCCTCCGCCTGCAGCGCAATTCTGCCTTTTGGCAACTCTAGAAAAGACCCTCCGGAAGACTGAAGACTAGATCCTTTACCAGAAGCCGGGGCGGGGGGTGGGGGGCCTGCCAAGCTTAGGAAACTGTGAAGAAGAGTAGTGTGACGCATTTAACACCTCCACTCCCCCAATTTCTGACAATCTTTAACTGCAAGGACGTGTTGGGAACCCCTTTTGGCTTCCCAGCTGGAATCCCGGCTTCCTTACTGCACAAAAATTCTTATTGTCGCTTTAGTTGTTAGATATCAAAAGGGCTGACTTGTGTAGCAGACTCCGCTCCATGTTACTTGAACATTTAAAAAATAGCGTGTTTCAGAATGGACTTTTACATTGAAAAAAAAGGACCTGCTACTTCTAGAACTAGCGAGGAGGTGGGGGGGTTGCCGGAAGTTCCGATTCCTGAGGCAGCTGCCTCTTGGCCTGCTGTGCTCTTGGGACACTTGGAACTCCTTTTCCAGGGTGTTTGCGACGCCCGGGAGGGCTCGGATTGGAAGAAACACTTGATTTATCAGCAGGAGGCTCAGTATTTGATGGTTCCTAAAAATACTTGCAAAGGGAGGAAGGGGGGAGAAGACCCCCCCCGAACTGAAAAATTAATTCACGTCCAGCTCCCATCACTATACTCCTTGGCTGGTGCTCAATGGGGCACTCTGGCTTCAACCTGGAAGCCAATTAATTGGTCTCCCTAAACGCCCCAGTATTAGGTGAATTTGAACTTTAAACTGCATCTCCACTGCTCACAGTGCATGGAAAGGAAAGCAGCAATAGCGACTCGTTTGTGTTCCTAATGTGGGAAACGGCTGCGGCCCCGGGTTTTGCAATGGTCGGTTGTGTTTAGCGGTCTCTCCCCAGCACACCGTCTCCTTCCCTCCCCTCGCTGTCTTCCTAGGTCAGCCCCAAGAAGTGTGAACAGCTTGTTATGTAAATTGCAAATCGAACAGAGGTGGTGTTCTGGGCTCCCCACTTTGGATATAAAAGTTACCGTTGTGAAATTAGTATCTGGCATGCGGAAAAAAAAATGGAGGGATGCAGTTTTATAAAGATCAACTTTCCACTGGTTTAGCTCTGGATATTCGCCAGGAAAAGATATTTGCATTTGTGTTTTATAAGCTTACTCAGAAACAAACCTCCAGTAAACGGCTTGATTATATTTCAAATACTTTGCTTATTTTATTATTGTTGTTAGTGGTGTTATTTTAACGTCAAGGCACAGAAATGAAGTCTTTTGGGGAATGGGTTAAATTTTTTATTTTCAGTTAAAGTTTTTGATGCCCCTTTTCCCAGCTCCTGGGGTAGTTCAGTCATCAGTCTCCCAAACAACCCTTGACTCAACTGGCAGAAATGCCCTGGCAGGAAACCTTGGGCTTCTTTTCTGAAGAATATCTAGAGGATATTTCTGACACCTCCCGTGCTTGCAGCCTGAAGGTCCGGCAGGCGACTGCAGTAAAGGTATTTGGGGGAACTGTTGTTTCACCCGTCCCGCCAGCCCCCAGCCCCGCCTTGACCTGCCCGGTGAGGTTACAATTCCCGGGGCCCACTGAGGGGTTCTTAGCTCTGAGGAGGGGGCGTGACGTCACAGCGATATTTAAAACAAGGCCTCCCCAGGGCCCCTACTGTAGAAAAGCACCAGGGGGATGTGGCGAGCACTCCAGGAAATGCCTGGATTCCGAACGCGGTGACACCGCAGGAATGTGTATTTTGGGGAGAGTGGGGGTGGGGGGGTGAAGGAGATAGTGCCCAAACGCAGGTCACCAGGAGCCAGAAGGAGCTCTTTCTCTTTTCTTTTCTTTTTATTCAAGTCGAGTAGAGGATTCACGCAAGCCCTGAGTTCAAGAAATGACTCCCGAGCGGTCTCAGACTAGCCCAGGGTGCAGATTGTCCTCTCAGTCAGAGACCCCTCAGGAACTTTCCAGCCCCAGCAGCCCAATCGTCCCTAGACCTGCCGAGACCCCCTCCCAGTCGGCAGTGCCGGCGTATCCAGCTTTTGGCTCTCAGTTATGCCCAAGAAGCTGGCCCGTGGGGGGTCTAGGCGGCCCTCATGCGGATTCCCAGGGGCCCCCACTTGGTCCAGGAGCTGCGGGAAACGGCAAAAGTAGGCTTAAAGATGAGGGAAGGGAGTTCTGTTCTAGATGGTGAATGGAATCCAGAGGATTCTGCAAAATCAGGAGGGAGGCTGCAGGTCGGCTGCCGTCTTACCTTCTCCCACTCCGCTGCCAGGAGACAAATTGGAAGATTAAGGCAATTACCCTGCCAATGAGATTTGAAAACTCCCCACTAGACCAAAATCACAAATAACCGGATCAAAGTCCGTGTGGTGGGTGTCTTTGAGCTATTTAGATAGATGCCTGTGGTTCTAAATATGGCCTCTTTTGCGCAGACCAGGAATCCGGGGGTAGGAGAGGATATTTCGGTGTCAATAACCGTTATTCGTTATCAAACCGTCAGCCCGGAAGGTAGCGTTTGTCTTCAATGAAACTTGTCAGCAGAGGGAGGAGGCGGGGACCCAACGTCTGGGTGGCCGAGACTCAGAGCCTTGCTTTCTTCTTCCCTCTTAGTTGGGGGATTTCTGAGTAGAAGTTCTGTTAACGTGGTACCTGTAATTCATCCCTCAGCAGAAAAATAATTCCTACAACAAATAAAAGAGCGTTTGTTTTTCGATTATGTTTAAAGACAAAGTGATCCACATTGCCTGTCTCCATGATTGAACTAATTGGATAGTTGCCCTCATAGGAGCAGATCTCCACAGGAAGTTTCTGTGATGCGATAATTTAATGTCATACCCCAAGTCCCCAAGATGAGCCGTCCCACTAATTACTTACTCAGGAGAATGCTCTTTGTTACCCCGTCGGGTCGGCCCACCTGTCACCTCAGAGCCGATCTGAGTAGCAAGGAAGGGGCACAGGGCATGTGGGAAGTGAATCTTTAACTTTAGTGCCTGGCTGCAAAAGACTGAGGGCTTCCTTTGTCCAGGCAGAGGTAGATAGACAACCGAACTGTCGTCTTTCATTAACAATGCAGGACAAGAATAAAGTCCATGAAGGGATGGGTGATTGGAAAGGACTAGGTGCCTGCGTGTGCATGCGCGCACCTGCTTGGCCTCGCATCTTGGTCCCCAGCAGACTCAGGACCGCTGCAGCAAGCCAGGTCCTGAAGGGTAGAGGCCCCGCTTCCTCGCAGCTTCCTGACACCGGCTCATTTGAGGCGCGCGCAGCGCAGGGCCCTGCGGTCCTTCATCCCCCAAGGCGGTAGCACAGCACTGGGATTGCAGGGTGCGGGCGGGCGCCGGCGGCCAGAGAACCCGCGGGGCGAAGGCGCCTTCCGGGGGCTGGAGTGTAAAGCGCGCTCTCCTGCACAGACGCGCCTGGGCTACGGATCCGCGGACAGACCCACAGACAGTTCAGAGCTTCAGGCCAGGTGAGGTCGGTTGCACCTTGCTGGTGGCTGGGCCTGTGTCCCGCGGGTGGCGGGAACTTCCCGGGTCTCCAGCACCGCCCCGCGGCGGACCTCGAGCCCGGGTTGCCACCCTTCCTCTCGCCGGAAAGCGACCGTCGCAGAGCCTGAGCCTTGACGCTTCGGGGCCTTCGCTTGTCTGGCGGGCCATTGCTCTGGGACGTCCCTCCCGACGTCCCTCACCCTGCCCCCAGGGCGTCCCACCGCTCAGAGGCAAGGCTGGGC